AGACAATAAACAAATTTCTTTTTCAATCCACATAATTCGGGCCAGTCAGTTTATAGTCATCAAGTAGCTTAGCAAAAGGACTAAACTTAGTCCCACATAATTCGGGCCAGTCAGTTTATAGTCATCAAGTAGCTTAGCAAAAGGACTAAACTTAGTCATCCTACACAAGCAGAATATAATAAGACTAAACTTAGTCATCCTACACAAGCAGAATATAATAACATAAGAATCTCAATTTTATATTTTATTATTACACAATTATTACTAGGGATAATTTAAGTAATGAAATTCACATTAATATATTTCTCTCATATAAAAAATATGAACATGAAATCCAAGCTTAATTATAAACCTCCAGATTTTCAAGATTGAATACAATTAAACAAGGTAGAATCAGTCTATTCAATCATTAACAATTAATGACTTTCCTTTAATTTTGGTCTTTGATGTATAACATGACTCTACTATTTTAGCAAGCATCCCAAGACATCAATGAAGTGTTTACCCATTAATCCAGCTATTTTATATAAAACATGTGACACTACCTATTTTGGTCTAGTGGTCCCATTATACATAAAATACTTGGCATCCTTATGCGAGATATAACTAGATAATAAGTTTTTACAAACCCTATCCTTTGTGGCATTCGATAAGCTAAAAAATTATTATCCACGTTATATCTTTATGATGGAAGACCTTTAGATTTATATTTCTTAATTATTAATCTATCTACACTTCTATACAACTTTTGTTATTTATTATAAGGGCTTTTTATTTTTAGGTCCATTTGTTTCCCTAGCTTTATCTTTAAACCCAAGTATTATAAGTTGTATCTTTAAACCCAACTTTTTTTTTATATTTATCTTTAAACCCAATTTTCTTATATAGGGGGACCCACATATGAGAGTATTATATTTTAGAATTGGGTTTAAAGATAAATACAAAAAGAAAGTTGGGTTTAAAGATACACCTAATAATTCTTGGGTTTAAAGATAAAGCTAGGTAAACAAATGAACCTAAAAACAAAAAGCCCTTATTATAATTGAGAGAACATAAGAGAAAATAACAACAGTCAATTTCCAATAAATTCTAAACTGTTTTATTTAATAGAAGTAATTTAGAACAATTCTGGACCTATTAGTAATTTTCCATGTATTACTTTAATCTCATGAAAAATTAAAATTAAACAATTTAAAAACAATACAACCATGTCACATGTATAATTTAAATAAGTATTTCAAAAATACAATGATACATTATCAATCAACAAGAGTTAAATAATCTTTTCAACACAAGAAAATAAATCATACATGTATATGAGCTTCAGAACAAATTATGCAATTCTTCAGGGTTAATTAGAAAATAACCACTTCTTTCAGATGGGTTCCAGAACAGTTTCTAGTTTAAACAGGGTCTGAAACTAATTTTACAGTAAAAAACAACACTGGTGGACTTCAGAATAGTTTCTGGGTCAAACAGGGGTCTGATAATAATATTACAGTAAAATTCAAATTATCAGAGTTTCGGGTTTGGGTTTTGTTTGCGGGTCAAACCTGTTTCATTAAACTTAAGTCTTAATAGGTTTGGATACATAACCCTTTATGAAAATAAACCCACTAAGGTCATCTTCTTCAATGAAGATCTAGGGTTAGGGTTTTGCTATGTTTCTGGGATAGCCCGCCGTCACTAAAGGTCCGACGGAACCGCATCGGCGGCCGATTTCTGACGATCATCCAAAAAGTTTTTTTTGTTTAATGTTGTGAGATCAAATCTCAACTCCGGCCACCTCCTCCGCCGCCCATCCAATAGGTCATAACTCCATTAATAAAGAAAGTAATTATAACAATTTAAAAAACTCTATTTAGATCAAATCTAACAAGAACCCTAATATTATAACAATTGAAAAAGAAAAAAAATTCTTTGATCTAATCATAAGAATTTTAACCCATAAATAATAACCGACGATTGTGAACAATGATTTCAGAATATGAACAGTAACCACCAACCGAGAATAGTGTTCTCGGCTAATGAACAGTTCCCATCGTGAACAGTATCCTTGGTCGATGAATAGTAACCCGAATTTTAAAAAAATCTGATTAAATTATTGGATTCTAAACCCGCTTTGGTACCATTGTTGGAAACATAACATACAATGCAGCGAAAAATTACATATCATGTAGATTAATCGAAATTAATAAAATCTAGAAAATACCTGAAACGCTTTCTAAATTTCTTTGATAATCCGTCCCAAGATCAAAACAAAATAGCTTCATCAAGAGAAAAAACTTCCAACTGAAATCCAACCGTTACTGAAGATGAGCAATACTAAGAGATATGTTCTCAAAATCTTTTTTTTTTTTTTCAAGGCTACATATGAACCCTATATATAGGATTGGACCTGCCTTATAGATTTTAATTTCAAAACAATTCTTAATTGTTTAAAACTCTATCCATAACATTTAAAGATAGATTATTCTTTCCATAACAATTAGGATAGAAATAGAATTGTATTTGCATATAAACCTTTTCTAATAACATTAGTGAGACCAATTGGGTCCTATATCGAGAACTAATTATTAATCAAATTAATAATTTTAATTTAACAATCAAATCACTATCCGACCAACTGTGTCTGTTCATAAAAGCTCTTCCATAATATTAGATTAAATATTCGTGAATAATATTATCTTACATTCAATCCTCTCCGGTATCAATTTATTTTAGGAAATTTTATTAAACAGGACGAATCACCTATTTGCTCATTCCTAAAATTGCAATCCCATGAACATAAATAAAAATTATTTTAAAACATTAAAATATTTTATTTTATAAGAAAATAATTTCAAAAAAATAATTTCAAAAATCACATGTCGACGGGAATTTAATATCTTCACGGGATATGCATAATAAATTAACTCATAAAAATGAGTATACTGGATCCTATCTAGATATTCATTATTTCCCTAAATGAAATCTAATAACCCAACATTTCAGGTTGTATAGCACTTGTAAAACAAGCTTAACCATCATATCAAAGTATATTAGATTATCAAATCGAAAATAATATCATCAAGTCTAAGGGACCATGTAACAATTCGAATTCTCTCTCTTAGGTGACTCGTCCTAAAGAATCCAAATAAGATCTTGTACTACACATATCAAATATGCGCTTATGACATACACCCGGGGGAATCTTCATTCCCGGTAGCTGAGATCAACCATCACATCTCATATGTCGTTGTCATGCATAATAACCTGTTATAACAAAGCTATCCTTTTTTAGTTATAGGTTAAGCCCAAATTTAAGAAATCTCTAAATTAGATTATATCTCCAAGCAAGTGACCATCACAGTGCATGATTTAACTAAATAATCTCTAAGGATAATATAACAATTATATAAAAGATACCCAAACAATATGTGCAATAATAAACTCAATTAAAATTCAATAAAAATGTATTGGATGTTTAAGGGTATATAACACTACTCTAGCATGGACAACTAAGAAACAATATGTGTGAAAATAAGTGTAGCAAAAATGAGATTGTTACTATGGAGGTCTGAATATGAAGAAGATACGATAAGAATTGGATGTACTCGTAGGATATTAGAGATTGTTCCTACTAAGGATACAATCAGATTGAGATGGTTTGGCCATTTGTGAAGGAGGACACTAAATGTAAGAATTAGGAGAAGTAAATAAGATCATAATAATTAATTAAGGAGAAGTAGAGGTAGTCTAGGAAAATTTGGTATGAACTTCGAAGCAATTAAGATGGATATCAGGTATGATAGTGGTTAACGGAACGGAAGGGAGATGGAAGAATAGGAGTCAAGTAGCCAACCCATGTCGGGACAAAGCCTTGTTGTTCCTTTCCTTTTTCTACCTTCTAACTGCAAATGATAGGCCTGGCTGCAGCTAATGAATAACTTAACCTGCTTTGCTTAAACCAAGTTTCAGGTAGAACTTACTCTTAGCCACATTAGCTAATAAAGCCATTACCTTATGACTATTCAGTTAAATAGCAGATTTTAGACCAATACGGTTGTTTAAGGAATGCATGAAGCGGCTCATTTATCTGATTCTAGAGGAAAGATGGTCTGGCAGGGTGACCTTACTGAATGGGTACATCTGTAAGCATGTCAAAGTGACTCATCTAGAAGGAAAGTGATCCTGCTGGTGGCTACGTGATGGTTCAAGGGACGATTGCTGGAGTTTTTGGAAAACTTTATGCAATTAATCTTGTTTCATTAGAGCTTTTTATATTCGTTATGCTAGAGTTGGGAGAGCTTGAGCCTTCAGTTTGCATCCATAGGGGGAAATATGGAAATATAGACATGCTATACTGTTACTGTGATTCAATTGAGATCATTTGTCTCTTTTTCTTTTACGTAAACCTTACAAGTGACATTATTCTTGTGTAAGGAGAAACGTTAAACCTTTTTTTTGAAATGTCTGTTCTTCCACTAAGATTAAGCAACGCTGGGCCATTGCATATATTCATGACCGAAACTTTTCAGCTATTGTTCCCTTAATTTAGAAAATTTTCCAACTACTTTTATATCAAATATTAGGATGCATTCATGACTGAAACTTTTCAGCTATTGTTCCCTTAATTTAGAAAATTTTCCAACTACTTTTATATCAAATATTAGGACGTGTCACTTCTTATTTCCTCTTAAACAGTGTCCTTAGGATGCGACGTTTGTGTCTGTATTGATTTTATATCATCTGATTTAGTGTACCTTGAGAGCAAATATTGTTTGAAATGTGATATAAATGTTAATTCCAGTGACAATGAGATACTTGATTGGTCGTGGCTCAGACATTGTTTTCTTTTACTTATTAGATTAGATTATCACATGGGTATATAGCAAAAATCTGATATTTGTTTCCTCCTCTTTTTCCTTTTTTGGTGCCTCCGCTTATGTAACATATCTATGGTTGGTTGTCTTGAACGTGCGTTCTAACAGTCTAACCTTTTGTTTTTGAATGTCTAGGCACTCTTTTGGCAGCAACAAAACTATTATGGTGTTGATCTTACTCCATTACATGGATCTGCTTTCCAGGGTTACTTTTCTCAGGTTGAAAATTCTTACTGTTTGAGATCTGATTGCTTTTTTCGTTACTGTTTTCAAAGTTAGTATTCTTTCAATTGTTGATGGTCTATTAGCAGATTATTAATTATAGAGAACATCAAGCTGGTTTAATGTAGGAAAAAGCTAGATATTCTTTGGTGAACAATGGAGGTCTTCATTATCAAGTTGGTCTTGTGGTCAGTACGTGGAAAAGAATATACGTAACCCAAAACTGGTTTAACTAATTGACTGCTACATCACTAAATTAGAAACCAAATTAAAAAGGGGGAAAAAATTCATCCAGAAGGAATATACTCTTCCTTTTAACATATTGTGTGTGCATTATGTTTGAGGTACTAAGTCCTTTATCGCTTGATATCTAGACTAAATATTTCTCTTGTTGATTGGCTTCATTCTTGGGAGTAACAGCCCATGCTGCAGACTGGGTGTTGGTTAGTGCCCTACTCTATTCAATTTTGCAAATTTTTGTACCCTTCTCTCAACCCCTACCTACGCACACAACACCAACAACAACTCGAGGATTGATTTTCTATCTAATTAAGTGACACAAAGCTAGATATCTATGTTACTAACCACCTTTCTATTCTCTGGAAATTCCAATTCCTAGCTTCAATTTGAAGTAAGTCTTTTGATTGTTTTGTATTTAGTATTTGTTGAAAAAGTTGTATTTTTCAGCTGGTATATATGTTCCAGTTGAAGAAGTCAGAGTTGATATATTCTCTGGAATATCATTATTTAACAGTACTCATATTCGTGTAATAATCACACTTACCTATTCAGTTCAATCCAACACGGCATTTTGAGTTTGATTCAATTTTGTAGTGTTGGAACACTGAGTAGGAAAGGTTTGGTTCTCAATATTTTCTTAGTTACCTCTTCAGTATAATTTGTATAAATGACATCATCTGCTTCCCACATGTCTCATTACTATCCCCAATTATCCTGTTACTTCGAGGCTGAGTAAGACTCAACGTAAGCTCAAATGATACTAATGCACTAATGCACTTCTGCTCCCTACTTCTGCATCCTTCTAATAGATTGTCACCTTCTGTTTTTGGCATAACTTTGTGGGTGATAGCTGTTTGTGTCGTGTACATCACTACTACTTAGATTTTGCTTAAATTATGGTTGAAAGTCTTCTAAGGTTGGAGCTATAATTGATTGTTATATTCTGCAGCCTGTGGTTGATGCATTTGATCCAAGGTTGTTGGTCTCTCCAGCGACATTTCACACACTAGACTTTACTTGTATAAAGGTATGGCTTCCTATGAATCCAAAAGCATCATTTGATGAGCTTATGTTTACATTGTCATATAAAGTTTTTTTCAGCTTTTTAATTTGACGAGCAGTGCTGTTTTTTCTTATATCTGTGTTCTATTGCCTATAAAATCTTAGGAAAATTTTCACTGGGGATTACCTTTGTCATTCTTTTGCTCGGTGGAAATTTAAAATACAAACAACAAAGTTTTTATTTTTTATATTATTTTTTATATTTATTAAACAACAATTCTTAGCGCTTCCATGTCTTCTTCGGAGCAATTATCTGTAATTTATAGTTAAAAGTTTGGTAGCTTTCTAGGCTTTCATATAAATATGTGTTTTTTCACATATACAGGAAGAAGAGCTATATGAGATTGACATTCCACTGAATTTTATAGCCTCTGTTGGCACTAGGGTGCATGGGCTGGCTTGCTGGTTTGATGTTTTATTTGATGGGAGGTAAGCAACTCTCATCGTACAATGTTATTGACATTTATATCCCATCGATACATTTTGCTCAATATATTTATAAACTATGAATAATGAATGATCTTATTAGCTAACTTGCTTTCTCCATGTGTCATGCGTGATTGTGTCCCGTGGTTGCTTACTCTACTGTCTTTTTCCCTTGCTCCGCATGATTGTCTGCATTGGGCATCATGTTGTTCTATTCATTAAATCATTGATATTATTAATCATTGCATTTTCTAAAAATATGTATATGATAATTGCGTATGATCATGTGTGTTCTGTCTTGCGGTTGCTTACCCTACTACCTTTTCCCCCTGTTCTGTGTGTGATTGTCTGCCTGGCATCATGTTGTTCTATTCATTAAATCATTTGGTATCATTAGTCATTGCATTTTTAAAAATATGCATATGATAATTAGATAATTTATGGAAATAATATACTCCCTGCCTGCAGCTCTGTTCAAAGATGGCTTACAACTGCTCCTGGTTCTCCCACAACCCATTGGTATCAACTTCGTTGTGTCCTTTCTCAGCCATTATATGTCATGGCAGGACAAGAGATCACGGGAAATCTCCGCCTAGTGGCTCACAGTTCCCAAAGTTACACAATCTATTTAACCATGTCAGGTTGGTCTAAACTGCAAAAATATGTTTTCATCATTTGTATTTCTGCTTATAAATATCTAGTTTTACTTTGCTCTCCAAATTATATTTTGAAGCTAAAATGTGGGGTCCGGGTGCGGAACAAGGAGGAATACTACAGACATCTACGGGTAAACTTGACCTTAAAGAACCATACTATAGGCTCTCCCAACCACAACCTTATGCATGGGCTCAAGATCAGCAGCAACAGCAGCAGGCCCCTATGCCCTCACAGGTTAGCTTGCTGGATTCATATTTGAATTGTCTATTGAGATCTGTTTCCATGGAGATCACTAGATTATAATATGTTAGTCAATGCTAGTTTTCCATTTACAATGTTTTTTAAAGCTTATAGCCCTTCTGTCTCTTGACAGTTGGTAGTTCCTAATTCTTGACCACTATTTTGTATGTGTGGTAGCGTGGTACACACATGTGATTGCCTAGTATTGTACGATTTGCTTAAATTTAGAGCCCTATGTGGGATCTACAAAACTTTGAAAGTGAAGAATATTTTATCTTTTAGTGGATTCTCCATGATATAGTTATTTTCACTCTCCTTCTACAATAACAATAACAATAACAAAGTCTTTCTCCTAAATGTTTAGGGTCGGCGATATGAATCCTATTTTTCCATTCTGTTTTGTTGTGGGCCATCTCCTTCGTTAAATTAACCATTATCATATCGTTCTTATTTGCTCCCAACCAAGTCCTTTAAGGTCGACCTCTCGATCTCTTTGTCCCATTAACTATTATATTATCACGTTTCCTAACCAATGCGTTAAGAGGACTTTGTCATATATGAGCAATCCACCTTGGTCTATTCTCTCATTTTAACCCCTATTGGAGCAACCTCTAATTTACCACAAATGCACTCGTTTCCAAGGTTTTAAATATCGGATATCGGGGAAATATCAGATGGCCAAAATTCATATCGGATTGCGGATATCGGGGAAATATCGGGGATATGTGGTAAATATCGGAATGTCGTAATGAATGTTTGCATACATAGTATAATGCATTAAAATGTAATCTCAACATATGTAATAAAATTTAAGCATACAAAATATGAATAATATTTGTTTAGGATCACTAATCAACCTTCTAAAACAAACAAAAGTGCAAAGCAACGTTGCAACATTCGATCTGCTTTTTTTTAGGGCAAAATGTCATTTGATATAATGGGAAAATCTTGATATCTCGCCCAAAAATTCCAAACACGGCATATTATTTGGCAACAAGCTATATAAAAAGATATATTGGTCCACATATCGGCCATATCACTCAAAAATCAAAATAGCCAAAAAACGGTAAATGATATTTAAAGACCATATCGGTTGCGACAAGCCCTGTAAAAGGATATATCGGGTCATGTCGGGGATATTTAAAACAATGCTCGTTTCTAATCCTATATTTTAGTGTATACCCCCAAGATTATTGAAACAGTCTCATTTATGCTACGCACATTTTTTACACATGTTGTTTTTTAATTGCCCAACATCTGATCCATGAAATATTGTTGGTTTTGTATATTATCCAATATAATTTTCTCTTTAGTCTCATAGGTATTCTATGATTACATAAGACTCCGGAAGCACTCCTCCATTTTGACCATCCTAGGTTGATCCGATTGACAATATTATCCTCATCTCACCGTCTTTTCGAACGATTGATCCCAAATAACGAAAATGTTTACTTTTAGGTATTTCTTGGCCATCAATATGTACTATAGTCTATTTTCTCTTTTTAGTTTTACTAAATATGCATTCCGTATATTCTGTTTTTGTTCTATTAATTCTAGAACCTTTAGGTTCAAGCGCTTGTCTCACTTTTCTACTTTTGATATAATACCCTCTCCAGTCTCTTCAAGTAATATTATATCATAAGCAAATAACATATACCATGAGACTTTTATTGGATATGGCTAGTTAATTGGTTTATAACTAATGCAAAAAGATAAGAGCTTAAATTTGACTCTTGATGTAAACTGATGATAATAGGAAACAATCTAGTATCTCATTCATTTTTTATTACTCTAATTGTTACTCTTATCATGCAGATATTTAATCACATCAATATATATAGTAGATACATGTTTCTTTTCTAAAACTCATCACATTATTTTTCTAGGCACCCTATCATAGCTTTTTCTTGATTAATAAAAACCATATGTAAATCCTTTTTCATCTCCCTATATATCTCCATCTACCGTCTTAGTATATGAATATGTTCCACACTTGATCTCCTAGGCATAAAACCAAATTAATTTTCGGATACATTTGTTCCCATTCTTAGCTTTTGTTTAATTATCCTCTCCTAAAGTTTCATAATATCTCGTGAATTTAATATCACAATAGTTTGAACAACATTGTATGTCTCTTTTATTTTCATATATCGGTATCAAAGTGCTAATCCTCCACTCATTGGGCATTTTCTTTATCTCAATATCATATTAAATGATTTAATCAACTATCCTAAGCCTAAATCTCGAAGATATTTCCAAACTTCAATATGAATGTCCTTCGGTCCTACCTCTCACTTTTTTCTTTAGAGCATCTTTAATTTTACTAATCCTAATTTTCCAACTGTATCTATATTTTCTATCATGCACTATATGGTCAACTTCTCTATGTTGCACATCTATTTGATTATTATTAAATAGACTATGAAAGTAATTCCTCCATCTTTCTTGTATATCCTCGTCAGTTAATAGAACTCTTTGATCCTCACTCTTGATACAATTGTCCTTACTCTTCCTTTCTCTCATCTTAGCAAATGTGTGTGTATACATGAACTTCGTACCAACTACCAAGCATAAATTTTGTTCTTGGTAGAGAGATGGTCCATTTCTATGCACTCTCTAAGCCATGTGATTGTTGTCCTATATTTGAATGATTTGATGGGAATGTGCCACTTCACTACCAAGCATAAAAACTTGTGCTTGGTACCAAGTTCCTCTCTCTCTCTCTCTCTCTATATATATATATATATATATATATATATATATATATATGAGAAATATGGGTATGCTTGGTAACCCAGAAGCACAAAATTTGTGATACTTGGTAGTGAGCGTTGCACAATCACATTCCACTCATTTCACAATGGGACCACCATTCACAATGGGTGAGGAGTACATGGAATATGCAACGATTTGAATGAGTGGAGGGGATTGTGGCACCTGTATTGTCACTACCAAGCGCTAAAACTTTTTATGTGCTTGGTAGACGGGTATAAGCATAACCCATATTTCCATCTCTCTTCTCATTCTCTATATATATATATATATATCCATATATTCCTCATTGTTTGGATCTAACTCCTTAATAGAAATTCTGGGCTTTTATATTTAGTCTGATTAACCGTCTCTTTTGTTTCTTCCTTTACTAGTTGATAAATTCTTGAAGCTTTCCTCGCTCCTATAGTTTTGCCAATCTTTATATAATGCTTTTTTTTCCGCTTTAATCGCTTTTTGCATTTCTTCATTCCACCACCTCTCTTTACCATCTAATTTACAACTTTTAAATTCTCCTAATATATCTTTAGCCACATTCTTAATACAAGAAGGCATATTATTTTACATAATATAAGTCTCATTATCTATATTCCAAACATCTTCCTACATCATCTTATCCTTAAAATGGCCTAAATTCTCTCATTTTAAGTTCCATCATTTAGTTCTTAGTTTTTTGTTCTTATTAGTTTTTCTATTCCCCTTAATAGAAATGTCTAATACCAGCAAGCTATATTGTGTGGTTAAACTCTCGCGTGGTATAATTTTATAATCTTTGCATGTTAACTTATCCACCATTCTAGCGAGCTAAAAGTCTATTTGACTATTATTAGATCCACTCTTAAAATTTATTGTGTTCATTCCTTTTCGTAAATTGTGTATTTGCTATAGTCAAATCATACGACATAGCGAAATCTAAAATTCTTTCACCTATATCGTTCTTATCTCCATAACCAAAGCCTCCATGTATCCGCTCATGTCCATTATTATCCTTGCTGACATGCCTAGTAAGGTTACAAACAATTTTTATCTTACCGGAATTCATTATACCACTTCATCTTTGTTATCCCAAAATTCTCTTTTAGTATTCTCAGACGACCCTATTTATAGTGCGTAAACACTAACAATATTAATAATACAATACTTATTAGTATTATTCTATCTCTAACCCATTTTACATCTACAATACTTTCTTTTATTATGAGTATTCCCACTTCGTTTCTTCTTCTCTTTTCCTCTATAGCAAAGCTTGTATCCGGTCTATTCAATTTCTCTAGATTTCTAACCTGTTCGTTTAGTTTCTTGTGAACAAATTATACTAATTTTTCTTCTTATCATGGTATCTACTAATTCCATCGTCTTTCCGGTAAGAGTATCTATATTCCAAGTAGCTAACCTAATTCTATTTTCTTGTAGAAGTTTCTTATCCTTTTCTCCCTTGTGGTGTTGTAGTCTATGCCTAATATTATTTGGCAACTTATTATAGGACCGTGGCTTCTTAAAACACAATTGCTCACTTGTCATTACACCGGGGGATATCGATGTAACGCGTTGCTTCCAGGGAACGTCTTACCAAACCACCCTTGCTTACTTGACATTGCATTTTGGTGGCATCGATGCACCGCGTTGCACTCTCCTCATAATTCCACAATTTTCATTAATCATCTGCTAACTATTCGCAGCTACAGTGCATTAACTGTGTTATGGTCTATGATTCTATTGTTTTAAATTTTCAATGTCGCAACCTGTTCTCACTTCCCACTTGTTTGATTTTGCTAAGAGACCAGCTATAAAGAGAATTGAATTTGCTTGTATATATCCGTTTTAAGCTGCTTAGTAGAATTTTATGGAACCTGGGCAACCAACACCTACCCTACCACCAATCTCTTTTTTTTTACCACTGTAATGTACAAAGTTATTTTAACACACACAACTTCAGTTTTTTGCGCAAAAATCCAACGGAATTATAAATTAGAGAAACCTCTGCTGAAGTTGTTTCACCAAATTATGATGATTGACAACAGTTCTCATGTGCTTCTCTCGCGATACATTTTGGGCAAATTTTGTGCTCATGCACTTATCATATTTACTTAATGTTTTTTGGGATCAGGATTCGTAGATATTAATAATGGTAGTAAAGACCCTTTTTTCCTTCACAATTAACGTCATGTGACAATTGTTAGTAGTCCAGGAGGATTTTGTATATTTTTGTAAGTCCCTTTGGGTTTTTTTTGGGTGGGGTGACAATTTCTTACAAATTGTTATATCTGCATGGAAAAAATTTGCTGCTATTTACACGTTTCTCCTTCTTCATTTGCCACTTCCCACTTGTAACATTATTAAGTTCATTTCTTCCCTTGGATTTCAGGGATTCTCCCCTCAAGCTCTGGAAGAAGGCGACGCCACCATATTGTTACAAATGCCCGAGAGCCCAGATAACTTACTAAACCGATAATCATCAATCTCGTATCTGTAAATTAGCCGTGTACTTCTGTCGATCCCTAAACTTACTCTACTCTGTGAACTCATACCTGCCTTCAAGCGCCTAATTAAAGAAACGCCATAAATGCATTTGGCTGCTGAGAGAAGTTCCTAATGGATGTGTAATATTTAAGTCGATGGAATACCAGTACCAGTGTTCCCAAATATTCTAGGTTAATTTATTGTGCTGAGTTCTTTGATGACAAATGATGGTATTATGATAAAAGGGTGCAGTTTTAGGAGACTGTCCTCATTGTTCTTAAATATTGATAGGACTTGTAGTTTATTTATGTTATTGGCATCACCATTTTATGTAGCCCATAGTCTTGCCAAAGCTTACACAAGCAAGTCATCCCTCTCTGATGTTGCCTTTGTAGTCACTTTCTGGTTGATGGAGGTTACTTGGTTTGCTACAACTGCTATCGCATGTAGTTTGCTTGCAATCCTTTGTTCAATTTTAAAGTTTTGCTATTTGCAGTTTGCAATTGTAATTGCTGGGGATTTTGTTCTATGGGGGTATTATGCAATATGCAATTTATGTTTAGTTGCAGTGAAACAAATTATTGTTCAAAAACGCCTCTCTATTGCGTGCGTAATCGTTCGTGATTGACGGTGCAAGCCCATGGGAACGTATTCAACGTAACCGTCATCCTTCATTAAGAAATAGGTCTTAAAAATAGTTTACAGGGGGGACGCGTTCGTAAGAGGCATGGGTCAAATATAGGGAGCCATTAGTGGAGGAATCAAGCTCATACTTCTTCTCTTCTAGTAGGTCAGCAAATATTTGTTTCAAATACAACAAATTAGATGGTATGCAACCATGTGATACTTGTTCACGAGCTAATCGTGGTTTATCGAGAAGCATAAATGAGTGCTTAATAAAAAGATTCATCACATTTTCTTAGGTTAAAAAATTTATGACAGTTTTATGATAAACCGACGAGTTTAACGTACAGAAATTTACTTCAAAAATTACTTTCAAGGGTAAATTACACGAAGCCCCATAAACTTTTGGCATTTTGTAAGAAAGCCCTATGAACTTTCAAAATTGTACTAAACCCTAATAACTTTTAAAATGCCTTAATATTTTGTTTTTTGGTTCTAACTCATGGGGGTTATCTGCGAAATACAATAACTTATTAGGGATTTTGTGCAAAATTGAAATGGTGGGTTTACTGGCAAACGCTAAAAGTTCATAGATGTTTAGTGTAATCTACCCTATTTTTAATAACTTGAAATGAACTACCCTCTAATCTCATGAGAACAAGGAGAATATAAAATAATTAGAATTATCATTATTTTTCAAAATCAGTAATAAGATAAAGCATAAACTTGAAAGGATTATATGAAAATTCCTTAAAATGATTTTCGAAAGAAGCAGCAAAACAAATTAAAAGAGTTTCATCAGTAAAAATGCCTTATGGAAACCAATTATTTTTATGATGACCGCGACAACTATACGCAAAAGACGTACAATTACATTTTAACTTTGATAGAAGAGCGCTGCTACGGGGACCCAAAATATGAGACCAAAGGGTGGGACTAGTGATGTGTGCCTTCTCTATTGGATAATGAGTTGGCAATGAGTTAGCATGGCCAACTCATTATCCAATAGGGGAGGGACATATCACCTGTCTCACTCCTTAGTCCTATATTTTGGGTCATTTGAGCATTAATCTCGCTCTTGATAGAAATGGTGAAATGAATCTCTCTACCATCGATTTCTGTGCCATAAAAAGCCTAGAAACTTCTAGAATGACCTGAGCAAATCCTTCACTCTCTAGACGCCACGCGTCAAGACCCCAACGGACTACCCAAACCCTCCATGCTAAGCAAACATCAGCAAACACGGACCATAGGCGTTCTGACAAGTGTCCACGAAGCCGGCACGTGTGAAAGCCTCACATTTCGTTCTCTATCTTGGCCTCGAAGCAGCCGAAGCCCAATCGATAGGAAAACGCACGCTCCCTCACACGCTCCGGAATCCAGGCCGTCCGATCAAGATCTGATCCGACGGTCGAGAATCGATTTGGGGCTATAAATACGCTGCCCTTCTCTCGACTCGTTAAATTCGTGGAAGTTCTTTCGCTAAAGTTTTTGTTTCGCTTCCAATTTCCGATCTAAAGGTTTGAAATTTGAGCTCTCGATTTTGAAAGTTTTGGTTTTGGGATCGATTTGATGGCTGAATCTAGCGTTCAACCTGATCAGATGGTGAGTTTTTTCGCTTAATTTGGTCTCGAATTAGGGATTTTAGGGTTATTAGGGTTTGGTATCTTGATTATATATGATATATTATCTGCGATGAATGTTGTTGGTACCTTTAATAAATTTCTCGAAAATTAAGGAATTGGGGCTTTTCCCCCCAATTTAGCAGCTTGATTTTTTAATGATTTGTTGTATTGTAAGAATCATGTTTCTTTAAAATTCCATTAAATTTCGCATAAATTGAAGGACTGGGATTTTCATGATCCTTCTCTCTTTGTGATTGATTTAGAACAAAGAGACGGAGCGAACCTCGAAGATGACGAAGCAGGCCAAGCTCAAGTACCTGGACTTCGTCCACGTGGCGGCGATCCAGGCTCTTGTCTGCGTGTCGAGGCTCTACGATTGGGCCAAGGAGAACTCCGGCCCACTGAAGCCCGGAGTCCAGACGGTGGAGGGCACTGTCAAGACTGTTGTGGGCCCGGTCTACGAGAAGTTTCGTGATCTCCCATTCGAGATCCTCAAGTTCGTGGACACCAAGGTCCGTCACTATTAACCCCTTTGAAGTTGTCTTTGGCGTATGTTAGCAGTTATAAAGGGTTTATTTTCCTGCTTATTGTGAGCCTGGTTATGGGGAGCACGCTAGCGTGTGAGAACGTCAGGAGTTGATTCTCGGATCTAGCAGATTATTCATTAATTAAACGTTAATTTAATTTAATTGGGAACTCGTTTTGCACTTCGATTTTCCCTTGTTAGTCTTAACGGGTTTGTACTTGAACACGCTTAAAAGCGACTCAATTGAAAGCTATGCACAGTGATATATACTTGTTACAAATAGACCTATGTAGTATCACCCAATTGCAAAGAGGCCCCCTCTGATTCTATTTGTTACAAATTGATTCATGTGCATATATACTTGTTGCGAATAGACCCCCTGAGTGAATTCTTTTTTACTCTTAAAATCTTTTAAAATGTTTAAAGAGGCGACTGGACCCCCTATAGTTCTATTCATGAGCGTAGACACCCGATTGCTAATTTTTTTCACTTTTAAAGGAGTTGAAAAATAATTCACTAAAAGGGTGTATCCGCTCTTGGGGCAACACTATAAGGTGTCTATTTGCAACAAGTAGAACTGTAGAGGCCTATTCGCAACAAGTAGAACTAGAGGGTTTTTTTTGCAATTGGGTGATATTAACAAGAGTTCCATTCGCAATTAACCCTTATTTATAAAAGAGTTACTTGCAGTCACTCTTATAAATAGCGGTAAATAACCCCGCAATAGCGGCGCTAATAGCGTTAGTGGTCCCTTCCCGTGACGCTATCGCTCGCTACATTATTCCTGCGACGCTATCGCACGCTACGCTATCGCGCAATAACGGTGACATATTACGGAATATGTATATTCGCAAACATGGTCAATAGTGTGTCATAACGGTAAATAGTAAGCGATTGCATTCGAAATTTACTTTTTGACTGCTATTTAAAAATGGTTTGAGGCTTATTTTTTTAAAATTAAACTTAACCCTTGATCATTGCATTCCACCGTCTCCTGTGATTTTCAGCATATTTTCATCATCTCTCATAGCCTCTGACATCTACCTTAATACTTCCTCTCACCTCATTCACTGTGAGCTCCTCTTAGGACGGTCCTGTCGTCGCTAAGCTCTTCTTCTCGAAGACGATGACTTTTTGACTCCTTCAGTCATCTTAGGTATTCCGTGATGGTTACATGTCTATTTCATGTTTAGGACCTTTTTAAATCATCCAATATGTACTTTTAGATTTTTCTTTATTTTTTAGTATTTTTACATATCTAAATTAGATTACTATTTAACTTTGCGTTTTTAACCGCTATTTTACCGCAATAGCCCGAAATAGCCTTAGCGATACCTCATCGCTAACAACGACGCTATCCGTGTTGATAACCTGGCTTGCAGTTTAATACAGTAAGTTTATCCTTTTCGAAACTTGGATATCCTGATGTTATACTTTGACGATTTGATAAGCCATAGAGTAAAAAAGTGGGAACTAATTTTGTCCAAGATTATCAACATAGAAAAATTATGAGAAATTAATTTGCTTATCAAATTTCAGTTATTTCGGTTTGCCTACTTAACATGACTCTTTTGCTTTTTTATACAAGTTGTATTTTGATATGAGTAATTATAAACATGTATAACCTGTAAAATGAGTGCCAAGTATTGAGTGTTTTCCACCGCTACATGGTACATCAGGATAAGAATAATTGTTGGATTGATAATATTAATCTGCCTCCATGTATTATGCCGTATATCAACGGTAAGCACTCCTTTGTCGTACTATAATGCAGTGACTAATAAGTATCCTATGCCCTTCCATAATAAGTGACACTTACGAGAGAAAAATGGGCACATGATATCTTGTTCCATTTCTTCTCAGTCCTATAGGAGTTTGGTTAGAGGTAATATTCACGGAAATAGATAAGGATCTTAGTCGTAATTCATGAGCTAGGACGAGAAAAAATGGTTGTATGTTGTAATATACACTAGTAGTTACTCGTACCAACCATCATGTCATGTCGTGTAACAGGTGGGCGCAGCTGTGGAAGAGGTGGACCGTCACATGCCATCCTCACTAAAACAAGCATCGAGCCAAGCCTAACAACCGCTGCCCAAAAGCACCCCTGATCGGTCGCCTCGCCATCCATCTTCCGATGGAGGTCCCGCCGATGCCGGCATAGTGTAACATCCTCGCTACTGATCTCGCCAAAGCCGCTCCTCCAAGGCCGAACCCCACTTGCCAAGGGACCCTCTACACACAGTACGAGCGCCGAGCGCTACGCAGTCTCAGCCTGGAAGTCCCTGAACAAGCTCCCCGTGTTTCCTCAGGTTGCGCAGGTGGTGCTCCCCACGGCAGCACACTGGACCGAGAAGTACAATGGGGCTGTGAGGTCCTCGGCGGAGAAGGGGTATGCCTTTGCGGGGTACTTGCCGGTGGTGCCGGTGGAGAGGATTGCTAAGGTTTTTGAGGGGAATGAGAAGGCTGAGTAGTGTTTGTTAGTGGCGTAGTCTTTATGTTTTTGAGCGGGGGTGTCGTGTGTCAAGAATTGCTTTGGTGGGTTTGGGGCTAGGTGTGGTGCGTGCCGCGTGCCGCTGTCCATTTCTAGTTTCTGAATTTGCTGCTAGCAAAGGTATTGTGAATATGCCGTGTAAAACCCTCAAAAAAGTGGTATGCTTTTCTAAGTGTCTTTCCTTCTTTGTTGTTGCTGTTTTCACAATCGGTATGATTTTAATTGCAATTGGAGGTAAACTAACGGTTGAATTCAAAGAAATTGTTCCGCTGGATTTTTATTTTTATTTTTATTTTCATTAATGCTACGCGTTGTGGTTGAAACCACACTTGCAGGTTGCAAAATAGTTTAATCACACATGAGATATGTGTTTGTTTGGCTGATCATATGCTACCCTTTGTAGTTGCTGAGCACAAGCATAAAGCCTATATAGTTTCACTTTCACCGATAATACGACAGTATTTAGAATGAAACAAAAGTCCTAAGATAAACCATTTTCGAAAAGCTTAAATAAGTCTTAAAACATATTTTGCTTTGGATAAAGTAAAGGCGCATTTTCAAAGCTGAAGCAACGCACACTTTATAGAATCAAGGGAAGGATGCAAAACAAGTGCTGCGGATTTTTTTCCAGCTACGTATTTTACAGGTTTGAGCTTACTCTACTTTCGCGGTTCATAAATATCATTATGATAGGAATACAGTCACACAGATTTTTATAACGTCTTAACTGACTTAGTTGATTTCATATGCGAAAGTAATTACTCGGATGAATACAAATGAATCATTCCTGGAAAATCACTCTCCAAACATGCTTAATTGGCAGCGTTGCAGCGCGAAGTTGTAAACATGGTTGTTTTATCTCTCTCTCTCTCTCTCTCTCTCTCTCTCTCTCTTTCAGAAGCCGCTCTCTTTCATCGAGCACTTCAAAATTCACTTCTCCTCTCCAATTCAGACTACATAATAGGCGATTTCGAACAAATTTTCAAAATTTTCACAGGCTTAAACTCTGTCCATCAACATGCAAGGATGATTGTCCATCAAAGCTTAAGACTAATAACTGGAACTCACATGGAAGGATGGTTTCCATAGTTTTAAGACTATAACCGGATTTATCAGAACGTTAATAATGTTGAAGCCTGCCTGCTGTAATTGTAGACGAGCAAGTCGAATGATCAGACTACAGTAGGGCACTTGGATAGAGAAATAGGAAACAAACATAATAAAATCAGAAGGGGGGGGGGGGG